TCCCTGCTCATTGCAGGGGGGTTGGAGTAGATGACCTTTAAAGGTCTCTTGGAACGAAAACTATTCTATCACTCTAAATGTGGCATACACATTGAAATAAGATTTTATGCTCTATATTAAAAAAATCTCTGTAGTAGAACTTAACCATATATCTCTTTCTTAAAAGTACAGTAGCATATATCAGCAACTGTAAGAATTATAGGATTATTTCTTAAAAATGATAAAGTAAGTGCTGACCGAAGCTTTTAATACTGAACATTCAGGAGTCATTTGTGATGCTACAAAGCGCTATTTGAAACACTGCAAAAGATATGTTTACTGCATGTATCATGTGCTGCAGAGTATAATTATATTCAAAGCAACGGGATCTTGCCATGGAATTCCCAGTAAATTCCACTGAATATATAGATTTAAATAAGTTGTCTCCAGTATGTTGGTGATATGCCACTTAAATCCATGCTGCTGAGCCTTATAAAAATTGTTCAAGCTAGTAATAAATTTGCTGACACTGCTAAATTTCCTATCACAGTTAATACAATAAACTGTAATTTTTCCCAGCAATCTGGATTGTTACTCAAAATGCTTGTTATAAGCCTACTCAGTGGTGAGGCAACTGATTTGCTGTATAAGAAAGCAGCAGCTGCCAGCCACACCTAGGGCATCAGCTCAGAAATCAGAGGTACTACAGGACACAGTTGTTTCACATAAAGACTACAGCAAGAATAACTAAGAAAGTGAAGCTTAGAGAAACATCAGCATTTGAAGACTACTCTTAAGTGTTAGGGTTTCATGAGGTGCACCTAGAACACTGGGGAAAGAAATTTTCATCTAATAAATAACTGCTTTCCTGTGCAAGTGGAGAATTTCAGCTGATAAAGTCTTTTGGAATAGGGTTAGTTGCCTTTTAGACTGCTGAGTGGTCCTGATGGTCTCAAGTTATACCATGGAGTGAACTTCCTCTGCACCACAGTGGCAAGAGTCAGGGCTACACAGAAAAGACCTTTTCAGAATTGTGAGTATATATTATATTATCTTAAATTAAAATTGTTTATCCTTTTGGAAGTTTTTGAGTTCTAGAATTTAAGCCATTTTTAAAAGACCATGCTATAGCACAGCCTCAAAGGAACATATACCCTAGCTTGACAAATCCATGTTTATAAGGAAAAAAATTTGAGTACAGTCCATCTACTGGAGGACAGATTTGTAATGCTTATCCCTATGTTCACCTAAGATATACAGTCACATTGAAGTCAACTCTGCAGGATGTCTGATTACACTACACAGTTTCTCTAGAGACAACACTCACATTAGGCAGAGTATTTTTAATTCCACATGAATTTTAAGACTTTTTGTTCATTTTTGGGGATTTGCGAGAAATAGGGGAGAGACAGCATGCACCAAATGTGGGCTGCCAGTTAGGCCAATGATCCATAGAGATAAGTATCTTTAATCAGCAGCCATAGTTTCCCCCAGCCAAATTGTTGTAATTCTCCTCTCCCCTCTAATAATCCTAGTCCCAAATAAAATCCATCCGACTAAAAGATTATTAGTTCCTAAGAAGATGTTTTAGAGAGACAATAATTATTTTCACAGAAAGCAAAGGAATAGAAATTCAGAAAAATCTCTCGGTCACCTACAATTATAGTTCTAACTTCTAGGAATCATAACTTTACTTACATATACAAGCAGCTGCAATCAACCTGACTGCATCATATGGTGGCTCACAATGAGGAAAAATTGGTTGAACAATATAGTTAGCAAACGTGATTGCTATCACTGCCTGAGTTGTTGGTTCAATAATTAGCAAGGAAGACCAGAGTCTGATGAAGGCCACGAAGGCACCAAATGCTTCCAGGATATAGGCATAACTGCCTCCAGATTTAACAATGGATGCTCCCAATTCAGCATAACACAAAGCTCCAAACAGCGAAAACATCCCACCAAGCGCCCAGATGACTAGAGAGAGTCCATAGGAAGCACTGTACATTAAAACACCTCTGGGTGACACAAATATCCCAGAGCCAATCATGTTCCCTACAATTAAAGAAACTCCATTTAGTAACGTGATTTCTTTTTTCATCTGCACTTTTTCCCTTGTCTCTTCCATATTGTCCATTTCAGCTTTTCCAATCTGAGTTCTGGATTTTTTATCACCACATATTCGCCAGGGGGCTGGCATCCTCAACTAACGTTACCTGAAAACAAGAGAGGAGAATATCTTTTGTAACACACATGGCATCAGAGACACGGGGAAGATAATTACCATACAAGGCATAAACGGTACAAAGAACAATTATTTTGCCTGCTTTTATCTTGCAGTCCAGGAACCACATACTACTGAATTTTCTTAAGTTTCACTGTTCTGTACCTTTTTAATGGATAAATGTGAGGCCACTGTCCTTGGTTATAGAACCTGAAGCTTTCATGAACTCTCAGTTCACTTTTATTATTTATCTTGAATTGTAATTCTATGTTATGTTATTGAAGTTATCTTAGGGAAGAAGGAGACACTGTACCCCTGGAAACATGTCCTAATACAGCTGGAGTGTCTCCCTAAATTTTGCTCTTATCCCAGGAAGAACTTTATTTCATTATTATTTGTTTCATCAAATCACATCCATCTGAAAATTATCTGCCGAGGAACAGAAGAGAAAAGAGAGAAAAAGATACTCAAAAACTCCAGCCTCAGGAGGTTAACGTTAATAGGAGGATAAAGAAAAGAGCTTTATCTGTTGCTAGAGATGAGATTGCTGCTGCAGGGAATAATGCAGCTTCTTTAGTTATTGACCTCACTTGGCTTCTGGGTAGAAGCCACTAGCATGCATAGGGATTGAGTTTTGAACACCCTGTCCCTGGAACACTTTTGTATAAGGGAGTCCAACAAAACACAACTGTACAAGCTTCCCACTCAGGTGCTCGCAGGGCAGGATCCAAGTACACCGGGAGCTAGAAAAAATGACATAATTGCATAGCTGTGTCGATAAATCAGCCTTGTGCACACATCGCACCTGTCTGGGGCTGAGGTCCTTGGGCATGGGGATGAGGAAGGGAAACGTAACAGCCGGGACTGCAGTGACTGCCTCAAGTCTTTGGTTCTGCTAACTCATAACGAAGCTTACTTAGAACAATGGAATTTTTTTGGTGCCTGTCTCAAAAGAAATTTATTTCTCCTTCCCTTCCCCCCTCCACACACACTCTAAAGCACTTCCAAAGAAAATTTCCTCAAAATCCTATGAGGTAAAGCCAAGTTCTCTGAGTAGAATAAAGCTCCTCCACGCAACACTGGCCAAAAACAATTGATCACAAATTTATGTTGTTAAAATATGGGTCAATGGCCAGTTTAAAACAACCTGCCCTTCCCAAACTTCCTGAAAGGTTTGCTTTCCTTTGTAAAGCATGTCTGTTTTAGCAGCCCCGAATAATTTATAATGATATGTGTTCTTTTCCATCTTTTTTTGGTGCAACTCAGTTTCCTAGTTGATCAAATAACTAATAAGGCCTGACGAGGTTTAAAGATTAAAAGATGTCAAACTCTATTTAAAGATTAAATGCTTTTCTCATCCCAATGGCACTTAGTCTAACCACGGGAGCACTGTGGAACACTGGAGTAAAGTTAAATATTAATTCCTGCCATAGGTGTCAAAGCGTGACCGCTGGGTCTCCCATCTTTTGCTGACCTTCTCTTCACACATGGGTGACTCCTTGTACTTCTCACTTTGTCCCTCTGAGAATAAAAAATGTCACCTTGGTCTGCGGGGAGGAATTTGAGGCACCCAATACACCAGTCATGTATCTTCCTTAAAATTCCTGATAAGCCTTCTCAGTTTCCTACTATTAACACAATTTTTCTGATTGTATGAAAGAAAGGAGGGAAAAGAAGTCACACTCCTCTCCCTGAAATACGAGCTAATGCTTCCACATCCTGGCTCTGTTTCTGCTTTCCATGGCTGTGTGAATGTCCTGGTTTTGGCTGGGATAGAGACAGATTTTCTGCTTAGTAGCTGGTACAGTGCT